TCTATTGACAGATGCAGGTTTTATCGCTCTCATTAGTGTAGATGCACATACACAGACACCAAAATCCCACTCAGCAGCATTCACACATGCTCAACACGATGGCAAGCCCTTTAAACATCTAGTCAGTTGGGCTGAGTGGCAATTTGGTTTTCACAAGTGGAAATTACTTTTTGATGTTTAAAAATTGAATTTAAAAATGTTAATTCAAGATATGTGAGTTTGAGTAAAAGTCAATGGTAAAGTTGACTATTTGTATAAAGAAAATGAACATTTTCACTGTTAATAAATGAAATTGTTGATATCAAGAATTAACATTTTGACTAGTGAGAAATGAACTGTAGATATATTTAATTAGAATTGTGACTAGTCACAATTAAATTATGGATATGTTGGCTTGAATTTCTAACTAGTTAATAATTATTATTACCACTAGTTATTAAATGTTAAAAGGGCTTTCCATACACATTTACACATACAGTTTGTGGCTGGTTTGCAGTGTGATAATGGCTCCTACTTTAAGAATGTCCTGTTACTGCAAGACGGTCATCATTCTCCATTACCTCTACGGGGCTTCTACACACTCCTCTGCAAACACACACACTCACAGAGTCCACTCACACAGTCAGTGTTCCGTTTGTTTCATTACTTACTCTTTTATCACTCCTTGTTCTCAACTGTTTCTACTTGTTTGGATTACATGTCAACCTTGAACCTTTTCATTTGCTTTACGCATGTCAGGTTGTCCGTGACTCTTTGTCTTGTGTTGTTCTGTTAGACTCAGGGAATGCATATCTCACTTTATGGTTTGAATTTTTTAAATACTTAAGGTGTGTGATTTAGCTTGGTAGACATCTGTCAGGCTTCGCAACTGGGCCAACATTTGCATTCATTACAATGATTCATTACAATTTTAATTTAATTTTTTCAGGTATGCAAATTTCCTCAGCTAATATTTAGCTAGGATCTACTTTTCCATCCTTCATCACTTACCACTGATTATTTTTCATGTTTTTCTTCTTAATTAGATCAGTTACAGGTGGCCTGTTTATTTCCTGCTACATTAAAGTGAGAATGTTGTTTAGAGGTTTGCAGGTGAGGTAAAAAACAAAACAAAAAAACACTTAACATTCAAAAAATAGCCTACTTCCATTACTCCCTGCTGATAAAGACTGAACTCTCTGTGAATAGACTACAGCTTTGGATTTGCAAAGATGCATTATTTTAAGATGCAAAAGTATTTGCTGACTCAATTTTGGTTCAAAAATAGTTAAAGTGCTTGGCGTGCAATCTTGCCCTCAGTAATGGGCTGCTATAGAGGCCTATTCTCGGCCCATCGCTGTTTGCATTACATATAATAGACCCTTTGACAGTGGTCTACCCAGACAAAAGCACACATAGAGTTGGTCTGTTTTTCTGTGGGCCTGTGTGGCCCTGATGTACAACTTTTGTACTGAAACAGGGCAGAGTGGGGACCGTCTCCCCCCCCCCCCCTGTTCTCCATCCACTCTCAGGCAAAAGAAAGGATAGAGCTAAATCATCTCTTGTAAATCCAAGAGAACCATGGGGAGAAAGGCAAGTTGGGACTCATCACTACTCCCCCATCATCTGGCCTAAACCTACAAAGCCCCTCGTAGGCTTTATAGGGCTTGCATCTCCCAACTCAACGGGTTCGAAGGGGTCGCACTGCAGAGCCTCCAGGACCTACCCCTGAGTCTTCAGGCTCCCTTCAGAAATTGTACAATGAGAATACTACAGTCCTCAACAAGCCTGCACTTCCCCACAAGGGCTGCTTTGATGTCAGCCATCATACTTTTAAGGATCAATAAAGTATTTCCCTTGTCGAATCTTGCCGAAAAAGCAGAATCTTGTGAGACCCACACGGGACTGGGTCTGCTTGGTTTGCCCCACACCACAATTCAAACACCCTCCAACAGTGCGAGTATGCTGTCCTCGTAGACTGAGGCTACATCCACACTAATCCACGTTTTAGTTTAAAACCGGGGTTTGAAAACAAAAAGGATCTCCATCCACACGGGCGTTTCAGCATTGTTTGTGAAATTATTTACATTAGCAGGGGTCCTGGGGATGTAAGTGAGTTAGTTGGGGTCCTGGGCTTTATTGATGAACCCAACTGCAGATGGGAAGAAACTGTTTTTGTGGCGTGAGGTGCTGGTGGTTGTGGGGCATGGGCCCCTGCTGATCTGGTGGTCTGGACCTGGTGGATGAGGTCATGGGGGATGGGGTCAGAACTGTCCCATTGTCTTTCAAAGCAACAGTAAAACTCGTTCAGCTCGTTTGCCAGGAGGAGCTCATTCATGGGCCAAGAACAGGGAACAGTGGGTCAACTCCCTGGAGGCAAACAGATCCAGGCCAGATCTCTACCACCACATCTGGGTGAGGCCTCTATTTTCCAAGGCTTGGGCCTCCCCTGGACAGCCAGTCTGCTGCCTGATTCTCCAGCCGATGTACCTGTATGGCTTTTAAGGACCGAAAGCGTGGAGACGCCTACAACCATAGCTTGTGCGCAAGTCTGCAAAGGCACGGGGTGCCAAGGCTTCGTAAAAGAAAAGTAAACTGAAGCTGGCAACCGTGGGTCATGGTCGAGACCACCCTGGTGGAATACGGAGATTGCTATCTCATCTACAGAAACACGGCTGACGATCTATGACTCGCCCAACTCGTTCTGACCTTTGAACCGATGAAACAACAACTTCCCCCCCACTCACGGTGAATGATCTCAACACAATTTCAGCAGTATGAAACACAGTAATTTCTACACAATATTAATGATCTCGGTCGTTAATCTCAGCGCTTATTATGCATACACAACACCACGTTATAAAATGACACAGTAACTTAAATGAACACAAACAAGATAATAAACACAATGACCTAACTAAGCCCAGACACCCTAAGTAAGCCTTATGGTGAGATGACTTTGTGGCCGACGGTGTGGTCCTTCTGAGCTCCTTGGTTCTCAGGCTCAGAGAGTTTTGTAGAAACAGGGCTGAGCCACAGGGGGTTCCCAGCATGGTTAGGCACCCGAGTATATCTCTGACTTGTTTCATCCCTATGTCACCAGTAGGTCATTTAGGTCTTCTGTCCGGGGCTTACTGTGTTTCTAACATCTTTTTTAACCTTTCTTTTATTGGCATTTCATTCTTGTAAAGCACGTTGTGAATCATGTTCAATGAGAGTTGCTATACTAAATTAACTTATTAATATTATTATTATAATAACTACCTACTAGCTTGGTAGCCTTAGCTAGCTTGATAGTTTTGAGCTAGGTGTGCGTGTTTCAGCTATTATGCTTCATTCAGCCTGCCTCACCTCTTTGCCCATGTTTGGATTCGGCTGTGTCATTTTCACTGCAAGATGGCGACAGCTTTGAGCTTCATTCAGCACTGCCTATGCTCCATCAGTCGTGGCGACTGTGGCTAAGTGGAGAGCAGGGCCGTCCTTCAATCAGAGGATCGGAGGTTCGATCCCCGGCTCCGCTAGTCACATGTTGATGTGTCCTTGAGCAAGACACTTAACCCCAAAATTGCTCCCGTAGCTGTGCCTATGGTGTATGAATGTAATAGAATCTGAATCGTAAGTTGGTTTGGATCAGATGGGGAACAGGTCTCCAGGGGCTGGAGATGGGGATCCGGGCAACCTGGGGCTCAGGAGGATGGATTGATGACCCAGGGCTGGAGGTCGTTGCAGCGCGGAGGCGGCAGCGGCCGGGACTGGAGATCGCTGCTGTTTGGAGACGGCAGAGGCCGGAGGTCGTTGCAGCGCGGAGGTCGTTGCAGCGCGGAGGGCGCTGCGGTCTGGAGACGGCGGCGGCCGGGACGGGAGGTCGCTGCGGTTCGGCGGCGGACGGGACTGGAGGTCGTTGCTGCTCCGAGGCAGCGGCGGCGGCCTGCCTCTGTCTCCTTCGAGGTTTGACCGGGATGTCCATTAGGTCACGGTCTGCCTTCTGGACACTTCGAGGTTCTCCAAAGGCCAGACGGGTTCCCATGAACTGTTCATACCAGTCGGGGAGACGACACTCCATACCGTGGTTTGCTGAGTCCATCTTCGGCCAGATCATTCTGTCACGGGGCAGGGTGAGGACTCAAACGCAGACAGGTGTAGTGAAAAAAGGTTTTAATGATAACCAAAAACAAACAGGGAATCCAGGGACAAGACAAAAGACGAGGGGGAAAATCCGGCAGGAAAAGGCAGAACAGGCAGACTGGAAAACCGGGTAGGTCGGAAAACAAACAATGATCTGGCAGTGGGTGTGTGTGCGGCAGGGGTTTAAATAGTGAAGGAGGCAGAGTGAGCAGGTGAGAGTAATGAGCCGAGTGTGACTGGCAGGTGCACTGAATGAACTGATTAGGTGAGTGAGGAGCTACAGAAAGAAACAAAGACACAGAACACACAGGGCAAAGCATGTATCGTGACAGATACAGCGTTATAACCCAACACACTTTATGATTCTTTTAATTGTTTTTATTAATTATGTTTGTTGCTCGGTGGTCATTCGTCTAATTTTGCTTGTTTTGTTCTAAGGACTCTCCTAAAGTGGGATCATGGGATATGAATACATGCTCAATTGACAGTGTACAACACATAACTACATAGTAAAACATATAAATAATATATATATATATATATATATATATATATATATATATATATATATAATTACAATTGTATATACTATTTAGAATAATTTTACAGCTAACCACATTGTCACCCGTCCCATTTCAGCAGGCACCCTTTGTTGCATGTCATACCCCTCTCTCCTCCTCCAATTCCATAAAAGTTTGAAAAATTATTAACTAAACTACACCTTCATTAAGCAAATTGCACAATGCACATTAAGAAGAAGATAGCAGACTGACTATTCCCCTATTTGATGTTTTTCCACAGCTAAAGTGAAAGGAATCTTTCTTTCTGCCACAAAGGCCCTTGAAGGCCTAAATCAAACACCTCCATCCTTAGTCCCTGTTTCTGCTTCCCAACAGAATGTCTACTACACCAGCTCTCAGCAGCTTCACCTGGGAGTGCTGAGTCCGACCATCGACGATGACGACAACAAGTGTCTGGTGGATGTGAACAGCAGACCCAGGCTGCTGGAGTGCAGCTACGCAGCTACCAAACACATGAAGCTCACCTGGACGTTCACTCAGGTAAACCCCTCGACAGTTGTACATGCACAAGGCCATGTTTGCAGTCAGACCCTTCATGTACAAGTAACATTTAACAAACTAAATATGTGTGCATGTTTTACCCATTTCAGGTCTTCTGGTTAGATGTACTTAGCAGAAGTACAGGCTGTTTGTCTGCTTTTTTAAGAATTGAGTGAGATTCATGACTTTTTCTCTCCACTGTGTTTCTTACTCTAAAAGGCCCCTCTTGGTTTTGTTAGAGCATAATTCTTCTGCTATTTCATGCGATTTCAGGCATTAGGTCCTCTCTCTCTCTCTCTCTCTCTCTCTCTCTCTCTCTCTCTCTCTCTCTTTCTGTCTCTCTAACCCAGAGAACTCAGTATCTGCAGCTACTGGGAATCTAACTCTAATTAGCATTAGACAGAATCTTAAATCTCACCACTCACCACTTATGTAAGAAGTGAAAGAAAAGAAATCCATTAGGTATATCCCATTGGCATTTTAAAAAGAGAACTCAATTTTCTTCATAACAAATTTGGTGGAGTGAAATAAGGCCTGAGATCGAACCGCTAACTTTTCTAGCAGAGCAGTTGAAAAGTTAATGTATGAAAGATTCATAAGGGAATTGAAAGTGAAATAAAATACAGTAAGCACCTGGGCGGGGTGAAAGACTCCCTCATTCTTCAAGAGATACGAAACGGTAATCAAGCTCTCTCCAGTAAACTCGACTCTAAAACCGCAGAAATTAACCAATCTATCTCTGGACTGAAAACGATGCTGGATACACTGAGCACCCACAGAACCGAAGCGGGAGACTGCATTAGCACAGCAGAGGACCAGCTGGTGGGCCTAGATTCTCCTGTCCAAAAAGTAAGTAAAGAAAATGACTTTTTACTGGAGAAAGTCAACCAGCTGGAAAACTACAGCCGACGCAACAATATACGTGTCGTTAACCTGAAGGAAAGCTGCGAGGAAACGACCCTGTGACCGTGTTTACCAAGTGGATCCCAGCCACTCTCAGACGAGAGCATTTCACTGAGCCGCTGATCATAGAGTGAGCACACCGAGCTCTTACACACCGTCCACCTGCCATCCCTGTCTCCTAAAAATTGCGTTCCGCCAAAACTAAAATGCATGCTCAATTACATTTGGTTAGAAACTTATGTTCTCCCTGATTACGTTTGTGTTTGACGTATTACAAATACATTTCTAATCAACATATCTTTGCCATACATACATATTCTTTATTATTTTTCTGTGAACTGCCTCGCCTCTACCCCCGCCACCCACGAGTTGTTGCCCCGCGGCCTGTTCCGAGGGCTGACGGACCTGACAACGGGGTGCCTCGCGGCGGGTGTGGCTGGAGGCTGCGCGTCCGGTGCCAACGGGTGAGCGCCCGCCACTCGGAACCATAAAACCAAGTCCCGGATGTTCTGGAGGTATTGTGGCCGGGTGATGTGCCTCATTGCTGGGGAGGAATGAGCCCGAGAGTGGCGGGGTGTTGTGGAGGTATATTTTGTAGCGTGAACGGATCCTGCCCCGGGGAAAGCGGGGCAAGCTCGCACCTACGTTGGTAACTCTGTCAGTAGTCTGACCAACATTCGTGGGTTTAGTGTCCCACAGAGGTGTCAGAAAAATACCTTCGGCCTTTTATCTCACCCGTAGCTGATACGATACGTACGATAGCTGATTCAGCTATTTGAGTCGATTTTGGACTGATATTAGAAATGTGTTTCGGTATCGATGCATCTGAATAAATAAATAATATTAACGATAATTAATATCTTAATATCTTAATAATAACTTCCCATGGCAACTTTTCTTACAGGAACACTTGGCCAGTTCCTGACAACTGGCTGCGATGGAGGGTAATGTCGACCAACATACCTGCCATTTCTCTCCTTTCTGTGTCCACCCCCAATCAGTAGGACTGCCGATGTCTGGCCTGGAGATAGTTGTCTGGCCCCAGATGATCCCAGCCTGATAAGCAGCACACTTTGCATGTTCTGTCAGGGCTGCCTGAGTTGGTGGAATCGAGTTATCGGGCCTTTGTTTGCGGGCAAAGAGATCCAGTCTTGCTTCATCCACACCAGTAACTGCGCTTGATCTATCGTACATGAGGACAACAAATCCCTCTAACTGTTGCAGGTCCAGGTCACTAATTGATGTTGGATGCTGGCTGAGATTGGTGAAGGTTTCAGAAACTTCATCACAAATGTTCCAAGTCTGCCATGCTGTCTTCTTCCCTTTCCCATGACATGCAGACACAATGCCACAGCCTGTGAATGCATGAAAGTACGGTAATCCACTGGCTTTGTCAGTCCTAATTGCAGCTATTACTTCATGGACTGGAATCCATCGAACACTGGCTCGTTGGCCAAACACAATCCACATACTCTGAAGACCAATGGCCTGTAAGGATGGCAGTATAGTTATCGCTATGACAAGGACATCAGTGTCATGATGAGGGACTTGATGCCTTCCATTGCTGCATCCCTGGCATGTACAAATATTCGGGTGTCTGCTTCCTCATGAGAGCATGGGGACATAGCATCCAAGCATTTCCTTGTATTGCTAATGACATCTTCTCCTTTTGGACTTGTGATGAAGCATGTCCTGTCTGATCATTGCAGCAGCTTTTGCCAGATGAATTGCGTTACCATACTTGGATGCTTGCGCAAGGATGGAGCCAACATCTTTCTCAAAAGCCAGCAGGATGGCTCGTCCTTTATGATGAGCTTGCAGCAGAGGGATATGCAAAAGCAGTTGGTCTTTCAGTCGAGTAGCATGAACATCTGTCAATTCAATACCAAGCTGCTCCACTCTATGCTTGTAGAGTTGTAGAGCACCTGTCCACACCCACAAAACTCAGTGCAAGGACCGTCCCGCTACCCGCAATTATCTCCTCGTCAAATCCGAACCTACCTGACCTGTTAATATAAGTTCAAACACACAAACTGCTACACATTCACTCTTTTAAAGTGCTTTATTTCTTACCATGGTTTAAGCTGGGTTCTCTACAGAAGCCCTGGAGGTAAGGTGAATTTGTGTGCCTGGTTGATTTTGGTGGTCAAGGTCAGATGTCAAGGTCACTGTGACCTCACGTCCGTCCAGTGGAGGACTCAGGCTGTCTGAGACTCAGGCTGTCTGAGGGGTAGAGGCGCAACTGCACGCGATGGGGCACGAGCACGCAGAAACTACCCTTAAGAGCACTTCATAACATTTTCTCCACTGGAATTGAATCCTAGAGGATGTCTTATCACATGTTCTTTACTGGAAGGACATTCAAGAGGACACTTCAAATTTGACAAAAAGTCCATTTGGATTTCAGGATGAATTGTTTACATTTTGGTGGTAAAAGGTCAAGATCACAGTGACTTCATGTCCAACTTCACGGAATGCCTTGAGCAGATTTCTTCAACATTGGCTCAAACATCCACTTGCATTAAAGATTGAACTGATTAGAATTTGGTGGTCAAAGGTCACTTTGACCTCACAAAACACATTTTTGGCCATAGCAAAGGTTACAATATTGTAACCCTTGGTCTATATTCACAAGCAGAGCTCTTTATTGGACTCTATGGGTAATACTCTCCTTCAATCAAAAGCATGCATTCTTCCACACCAACATGTGGAGAAGTGTAGATGGCCAATCAGAGCGTCCAATCAGACCTACCCAAATACGTTCGGACACCAGAGTATATAAGGCAGCACACATCGCTGCTCAACATCCTACACCCTCATTAGCGAGTGTAGTAATAGTGGCATAGTAGCAGCAGGGCCCCTATAGTAGAGGGCTCCACCTGTGCTTATAGATCTAGGGTTACAATATTGTAACCTTCATTCTAACTCACACAGGTTGCAACCTTTACTGGACTCTTTGAGTACAGTCGCTGGAGGCCAATTAATGTTTTCTCTGCCATAACACTGACCCAAGCACATTAATCCTGACAGGTTGGTCACGGGAGCCAACTTCTTTCTTTATAATAAGTAGGGGCCCTTAGCCAACCCAGGTAGTACATAACTAGAATGGGCACAGCCATGGCCTAACCGTGCAGGGGTCAAAAAACAAGCAGACACCCTACACACCACATCACCCGGTCGTCAAGGAGCATGGGAACATGTAGATGTATCATGCCAACAGGTGCAACACAATCGAAACACACCCAACCCTTTTCAACAGTCCTGCGTCGTCCAAGTGAATTCATCATGCTGAAACTTACAGCAATAGTAGAGTAATATCAATCAGTTGTTATAAATGCAATCAATACAGAATTAATTCAACAAAATCAAACTCTGTCCCTATCTTACTTCCCTAATGCTGCTATACTCACAACCTTGTTTGATTCTGAAGAACAGGGCTGAAAGCAAAAAGGCAAAAAATCCAAAATTCTCCTTAATGGACAACAACTTCTCTGTCATAGGATTGATCTAGAAGAAGAAGAAGATTCTATTCAACAGGTACCAAACCTCCATTTCAGGTCCTCTCAGGGAGCGAGGGTTTGGGTGTCAGGGAAATCTTGACTGGTTGTTGTTCTCAGCTTGAAGCTGTACTTCAGATGAATAACTGTTCTTGAATCACAGTACGAAGCAACATAGTGTCCCTCAGCACTCGATGAAGTCTTTATTCCTTCTCAAAAATTCCATCTTAAAGTCCCTATTTGAACATATTGCATTAGCTCACCAATAAGCTTGAGGCAGATCAGGTGACGTGATCACCTTCACCAACACAAACAAGTCACTTGACCATGACATCAACCCCATTTCTAGTAAGTTCATGCCTACGGACAACCTTGTTCAATGTTATGCTGATCTGCTAAATATTTTACTAATCTGTTAATCAAAACAACTATTTAAATTCAGGGAATTCCCATTTTACCAGTCATCTGCATCCGCTTGTCCCCCTTACTGTACCTTTACTTACAGCTCTTTCATTCCCCTATTTGCTTAGTGCACAAACATATCATAAAGGTCACAGAGGGATTAATCATTGCATTTATCCTATTCAGCTTGTATACTTGTTCATGTCATATTCTTTCACATTTCATCACACTTTGTCAAAACCTTACTTGATTCAACACACTTGATTTATCATAAAACAATCACATGAAAAGCCATATATTTACTCATACTGAGTAAATAATGATTACAGGATAAATCACACATTTCTATAGATATCCTTTCAATAATTATGATCTCACTTACTTATTGTGTTACCTTTTAGCACTTTAAATCTCTGTTTCTATCTAACCACCATCTCCTCTTACTGCTGTCCACCTGCAATGGTTCCTCTTCTTGAATAGGCCTCAACTCTTCCTTTGTTGGAGACGGATCAGATATCGGTGCTGTAATAAATTATCAGCTCAGGCTCTTCCTCCTTGCTCGCCAGTAAGACTGGGGGTGCTGGCAAGCGATTCAGGGAGAATTCCCCATTCTAAGCCTCGTGCACTGTTTCCTGCCACCCTGGGTTTATCATCTGGGCCTGTGCACCTGTCGGCACTCATTGATTCAGGGGCTGAAGAGAACTTTTTGGACACTGAGTTTATTAGTTATTGTTAGAGGATATGGACCAGACACAACACTGCTTACTGGACACTGATGAAAACATTCATTTATCTCCACGTTGTAAAACATCAGTACATCAATGCAGAACTGAGTATATTCTAAATAGAATACAAACACAGTAAAATCATGAGGATAATCATATTGGAGATAAAAAAGAAAGCATGAATTACTTTTTCTTTTCAATTGCTGATACATTTTTTTGAAATAAGGCCTCTCGCTGCTCTGCTGACTTCTATTCATCCTCACAAAGGTACTCACTCACCTGTGGGGGTTTCATACTGCGTACATCCCGATGATTGAGTCGACCATCAAGCAGCCACATGTCTGGAAAGGTGTCATGTGTATTGTGACTTTATGTCAGACTCCTGCCAAGGGCGGAGAGAGATAGAGAACGGTGTGCAGTATTTTGCAAAAAGTTCCATGTTGAATTGCAAATTGAGTCCAAAGGAGAAGATGTGTTTAGAGTTTGAGGTTCTGCTCTCTGGGTGTCCGTTTCATTAATTGCGCTTTAAGTGTCGTGTTAGTGCATTCCCCATCTCCATAGAGGTGGTCTTTGAGATACTTTCTTGCTATACATACGCATAGTGCTGTTATAGTGCTGTTCTGATCGGATTACTAGAATTATGCATTTTACCCAGATGTTTGAAATGTTTGATTTTCAAGAGCCTGCTAAAAGGTTGTTGCTGGCCTGTATGAATAATACGTTTCAACCACACACACCTAGTGGTGGTGTTCTTGATGAGTGAGGCACTTATTCACAAGCAGGACCTGGAAAGATCTCCACTGCTGCAGTGTGGACTCTTGTCCTCTTCCCGCTGCATTGAACTGGTTCTAATTTGTGTTTATAGGCTGTGAAATTCAAAACACAAGGTCAGATATATACCGGCCCTGTCTCACAGATCATAATGCTTGTGGAGCTCTGCTGTAAACTGGCTCATCATTTTTACAGCATACATCCAGCAGCTAGTGGGACTCGTGCTGTAAAAGAGCCAGAAACTCAAGCTTTAGTTAAAAAGGTCGTTTGGCTGTTAAGCTATTAATACTGAGAACGCTGACTGAACGGTGTCTGTTGAAAACAGTATGTCTGCTTTCAATCTGTTGTATGTATCGAGTGCTTCTTTCCTCTGCATCATCCGTTATAATCAGGGAACGTATGCAAACATGGAGGCCGTTATCGGGCTTATACCACGGCCACCTGCCACTCAAACTATCCATCATTGCTTTACTCATAATATTGGTTTTGCTTTACTGTTAAACATGTCATAGAATATATTTCCTTAGCCTCATTGCTAGGCAACACCAAGCTAAACAGGAAGGGATTCATGAGGCTAAACCATGAGTTTTAAAACTATGAGAGAAAGAAAAATGTACGGTTTGATGACAACAATAGACATTGTTGTCTCTCCAGTGGAGATAATGGTTGTTGGTGGTTACAAAAATAACCCTAGCTCCAAGATATTTAGCAGAGCCTCACTGTTGCTGTCTTTGACTACACTTTTGTTTTATATTGGCACAATAAACCAGAACTGTCGCCATAAAAGTGCAATAATGCACTCAGATGTGTCGTGATATAAATAATGGATCTGGCTGAGGGGACACCAAATGGAGCGGCATTCTTCACCTTTCTTATCCATTCTTTGTCTGTAAATCTCACCCACCTTCTCTCTCTCCTTCCCTTTAGGGTGGCTCCATCCAGAACATGGAGTCTCTAGGTTGTCTGGAGCTGGTCGAGAGCAAACAGCCAGAGGTCACTTTCCAGCTGGTCATTCAGGACTGCACCGATCAGAAGTGGACCATCACTAACATACTGACTGTCCTGCCACAGTGAACACTCACCAGTCAGCTACTAGAACATATTTGTTGTGATGGACTAATCTAGTAAGCGAAGAACTCCCCTGCTGACTCAGATACACAATTGACTGATTAGAAATGGACTAACATGTTGACCTAAGCAGCAAATACGTGTCCAAAAAATTAGCTTATTTTTAAAGAGAATCTGAGGAAGGAGGACAACGTGTGCTTTAATCAGACATGGACAATCAGTAACCTAATAACTCTTTTATACCAATGACCTGAGAGAAGAGACAGGAGAGACAGATGGAGCCAGGGTCTTAAACCTTCCCACTCTGCATTTATAATGAGAAGTACAGCCGCTCGTTCCAGAGGACCGGCCCATGAAATCATGCCAGCACTCTGGTCATTGCAGGAGCAGGATTTTGGGTCCATGTCAACCATTTAAGATACTAAGACCTGTACTGACCCGGTCTCATCACACAGTCACTGTAACAAATAGATTGTGCGTCTTTCAATATGTAAGTGTGCAGAGGGAGAAATACAAAGCGTGCAGCCTCACGCATTGCAGAAAAATCAAGTAATTTTACAATGCTGGCTGATTTGGAGTTATTAGCGTTATACACTACCTGACACACAGTGTAGGCCAGGAGCTATAGATGTACTCAGTATTGCAAAAAGGGTGACATAGTGTAATGGAGATGAACCAGTGAGTGATTTAAACTGGCATTGTAATAGAAACTCTGAAGTTTCAGAGAGTGCTTAGGAAATCATTTGAGCAGAAGCAGAGCCGAGCGTCATGCTGGCAGGTGTCACATTAGTGGACAGAGCAGGAGATTAATCCGGAAGAGAAGATGCTAGATTTACTTGCACCTGTAAAACCAGAACATAACACAACTTTGGCTCATGCAGCATTGAAAGAAGGAAAGTGATGTAGAAACACAAACACATCTGTTCAATAAAAGCAGACAAAGAGCCATCAGACAGGTGATCTCACAGGAGAGGGAAATCCACCCAATACTCAATCCACACTGGTGTTATCGTTTATTTCAACATGTTATGCTTACATGTTGTATGTTGAGTTCACCGATATATTGACCCAAGAATATGTTGATTGAACACAGTCAGTATACACTCACACAGGCTGTGTGGGTGTGAGACGGGTGTGCAGCAGCTTTAACAGAGTCTCAGTCTTATTTCTCCTCCAACTCACTTCACGCTGTTTTGTAAGGACTTGCCTTGTAAATGACAACTGTTCTCAATTGACTTATCTAGTTAAATAATGATAAAATAAATTTAAAAAATATTCTACATTGATGATACTTCATCCTTGTTGGATACTGATCATGTAACTTAAAGCCATGACGAGGCCATTGAGACGTGTAACATGCAGTCTGAAGGTGACACCACTGCTACACATGCAGTTTAGTTTAAGTTATGTAGATGTATGAAACATTAACTGGACATATTGGATAATTCTGGATTATTACAACTGGGTTCTTATTTGTGTAGTCCGCGCCATTATTATCATCATCATCACCATCAGTAATACCATTGCACTAACCAAGCTAACTGGTGAAAAGTGACACAGCGATATTGCTAAACATTAGTCTGCAGATGATCTGACAGGTTATAATCAAACAGCAGGTTAGTCAGATGTCTTTGGAAGAGAAACAAAGTGAAACTGTTAACTAGCCCCCAGGAGCACTGAGTCATGAAGCCGTTAACGTAGTGGCCCTTGATGTGTAAATGAGGCCAGGACAAAGTCAGTCTGACTGTGGCCAGTGGGTGATTTCTTTGGGATGAATGGGGTCCCATCCTGGAACATGGGACCTTTTTTTGATACACCGATGGTTCTATCACAGTTTACAGACCGACTTCCTGCTTCAAATGACCTCGTGCAGGTACACACTTTTCTTGTGCAATGAAAAATAATTACCGACATTTCAAGTGCACTCACTTTCACCTACAAAGTAAAGTGGTTTCAATCATATGGCTACTAAAGTGTGGACTGGAGGCCATCTGGATACATAGTCCAGTCGGTGAAGGTTGATCCCAGCGGTGAATAATACATAACGCATACAATACTACATATCTTAGGAATGACTTAACTCTTACATGATGATGTGGAGGAAGATGTATGTGTTGTGTACTATTAATTGTCCCATCTTCCAGATTTGTCCACTCCGCTGGGATCCCCCTTCCCCAATTGGACATCAGATCGCCTCCAGTCCACACTTCAGTAGCCGTATGTTTGAAACCACTTTATCCTGCACACGTGACCCGGCCCAAGAATCCCCTCACAAGTGTCTATACCGAAACCTGAACCACAGATCTACTGAGAATGTATAAATAGCCGATGTGACATCAATACATGGGTGATGAATAATTAAATAATGTTTCAGAGAGCCAGAAGAGGCTCGTCTTTAGGTTTTATAGAGAAACCCTAAAAAATACGATCACACAATATCATATCCTTTTTTACCTGAATATATGAAAACATCCACAGCCATAATGATTTAAATATATTTGTATTGAATCTGAAAATAGCAAGATTATTCTGAAACGGTGGGGTTTATTACATAATCATTACAATTATCAAACACTGTCCTCACTGCTATATCGTAACATCATCCTTATGACCACTTTCTAACCACTTACTATTAATCCATCATTAACTAACCTTAAACCAACCAACAAAACAATAATTGCTAATTGCAAAAGCAGTGGTAGGAGATGTGGCCTTCACTACGTGTTCTGCAGCAAGTTGTCAGGTTTAAACTCTGGTGTCCCATTTAAAGATACACACAGACGAGGCATTTACACTTTCACAGTTTCAGAAATCCCTAAAACAAGAATATTCTTTGACATGTCATTCTAAAATCCATTTCATTCATGTGTGTCAGATTTGAGAGTTTACACCGGTTTAATGCGTTGTTGCCTCTCTGAGACCACATGTTTGGTGGAGAACGAATGACTGACTTTATGAGATGTTCAAGACAGTCAGAATGCACAAAGAGTTTGGGGGAAGACCTCCCAGTGCCTCTCAGATGAATCATCTCTCATCTCATTCCAGGAGGTGGTGAAGTCCTCTGAAGGACTTGTCTTCTTAGGACGCAGCCCCTGAAGAGGGACCCAGCTTGTCATCGCATGGCATTCTACCATCTTAAATCTACAGCTAACTAGCAGGAGGATGCAGAATGTAGACAAACAAAGACGAGCACCCTGTGCTGTCCTCCTCAGTCAGTTCATCCCGAGAACCCAAAGACATGTCCGAGTTTATTCTGAGTGCACAATGGGACAATTTGTGCACAGAAAAAGATATTTTGTAAAGAAATCTTTATCACACAAAGAATAATTTCTTTGCATGATAATTATTTTTTTCACAAAATGTAATTCATGTGCATGAAGGAGGGATTCGTCCCGCATTTAATCACTCAAGATTAGACATGTATGTAGGTCGGACCGTGGGAGCACATGAGTTCAGCACAAAAAGTTATTATGTAGAATTTATTATAAATATTATCCACAGCCATATAAATACATTATAAATATTATAAAATAAAAAAGGAATTACATGTTACTGAGCCCCCGTAGCTCCGCTGGTAGACTGGACACCACGTTACTGAGGCTGAGGCTATATCGGCTTGAGCCGGATCTAATAAAGAAAAACTATAATCTTACAATACACTAATAATACAGGATTGATCAACTTTAAATAGGCATTGTTCTCGCTTTAGATCTGGTACCTGAATAAGCATATCACAAGTGAAATGCATAATCAATAATGCATTAATGTTAATAAAGCATCCAAACAGGTTAGTAATGATTTTACAATGTTATTATAGGTAAATTAGTCAAAACTGAATAAAAGTGTAAAAGTGCTGACGAAGCAGACAGAGTTAAACTGAGGGGGAACCGGAGGGGGGGGTGCTATGTTTCCATGAGAGCAGAGCGGCTGTGACCTCACCAGTGGGGCACGCTCACTATTAACAATGTGAATAACAATCTAATTAGGACTCATAAGGGGCTACCTATTAATTAAGGCTTATTACAAGGACCTTAATGTAAAGCGTATCCCAACCACATGGTCGTCCCAGAACATCAGGTCAGAAAGTAACTCTTCCTTTTGACACGTTTTGAATCAGGTGAAGAGACAACATATAGCTTCATGCATCATATCAATATTAAATCTAAAATCATTGACAGAGTTGCTTACTTGCATCTGCTGCACTTTATATTAGTTTCAAATATGCAGCTCACTAAACATGTATGAGGTGTCACTCTCTGAGCACGGCTAACATCAGTCCCAGTAATGCTGATGTTTACTTTCCCACTGTCTCATAAAAGCTGTCATTTGCATGCACACACACACACACACACACACACACACACAGATAAGCAAACACTTTGCATGATTCATGTCACCATTTCACAACAAGGAATGAAACAGAAGTGAATGCTCAGTAGGATCCAGGATCTCTGAGGCACTAGCGTTGTTGGGGCAAAGCATTCTATGTAATGGATTTACAGTGATATCATGTAAGAGGCTGGATGTGTTCCACTAGATTACAGATTAAACTGTACATTTTCAGATTGTCTATAAAAACTATGACCTTCTCATTTGAACTATTTTCATATATTTGGGGGCAAAAAAGACTGCTGGAGAGATTGATGCTCATTCACTACATTGTTTTGCTTGATTCAAATGTTTTTAAGCCATTTCATTTTTGGTCTTTCTTTTTATAGGTGAACAAACTCACAGATATCAACACCTTCCTCTCGTCCATGATATCCTCCACTGCTGATATTGTTGCAATTCCACTTAAACAGACCAAAACAACAGAAAAGTCTATAACACTTCCAATGGCAGTCTATTTCCTGTACACATTTTAAATGTTAATAGGCATTTTACTCTTTCTTTTAGACTTGCCATCAAGGACTTGGCCTGAGTCTTGCTTTGACAAGACCTCGGGCTCAATTCGTTTTAGACATGACTGAGACGTTTTTGGTATAAAAATGGTCCTTGTAAGGTTTTTTCCTCCATAAAATTTCCCAAAGAATGTGCATGACACACTTTGCATTAAAGCCCTCTCTCCAGCTCTGGCAGTGTGGAGAGAGGGCTGGCTATGTGAGACTAGGCCAAACTGACTTGAGACTTGATTTACACTTGTCTCAACTGACTTTGACTTCTGACTTGCTCTGAAAAGACTTGAGACTTGACTGAGTGTCATGGACTAGGTACTAGGCTACTTGTCCTTGTCACAACTGACTTGTGACTTGTTATCACAAACTTGAGACTTGGCTTCGGCTTTGACAAGACTTAGGATTTGATTTGCATTTGTTTTTGTCAACTTCAGACTTGACTTAGACTCGCTCCATTTATAAACAGCTCTGTTTTGAGGTTTCCTTGACTTTTAGAGCACATTTCCTCATGAGTGATGATGAGTGCTTTAAAGAGCTGCTAACTTGTCAACCGTCTGGGTTTCAGTGGAGAACCTGAGCTTCTCATGATAATCAAAGGTTTACTACGTTGAAAAATATGACAGCCTGGGGAAAACACTAAATAAAAAGGAAAAATATTATTGGTGGTTTGCTACTACTTCTGTAGTTCAGCTAAACTGGGGGCCGATATGTGGGCCTCTGCAGCCTCACAGCCTCTGAGGATCCACTAATTATTACCTCCAGGCCACAACGTGCTGTCTCGTTAGACCACTGAGGAGCTGGATGGACTCACTCTCTTTCTCTCAGTCTCACTCATTCCCTCCTTCACACTGTCATCATCCTCTCTGCTGCTGGCCTCTTCCTTCCCTCCCTATAATTCACTTCCCCCACTGCCTCCCCCTCTTTTAATAGATACCATTATAGAGAGGATGTGAGGAATCCGGCCTTCTTAAAGGATTACAATGATGCATGAGTATGCCCAGTCATCAAAACCGCTTTACTCATTGTCTCGATGAGCAATAAAGCATTTCCATGGATGACTTGCCATAAAAACTGAAACCCTGCACCGATATTGTTTGGGGGAGTTACCATGAATATCTCATAAACAAGTCTCATAGCCTCTCATAACATCAAAGGCCCTGTAAACTGAACACATCCAATGAGCCGTGAGCACACACACACACACACCAGTGTGACAACGTAGCACTTAACAGCAACTGAGTGATTAAAGCCAGCAAGACACTCCAGTGCCTTGAAGGTGATGCAGCGATGCATCACCTTCAACCTTCAACCTTCAACCTTTGCTCACGCCTCATTGGCTCACGCTTCCACTGAGCCACTGTTGACTTAATTGAGAGTACACTTTGTTAACACTGTTGCCAGGTGACCACGGAAGCCTAATTGAAGAGCAACGCTTGATTGGATCTGTGCTTGTCCATCAAACAGGTGAATTAGCACGAGCCCAGCTTTTTATCTTTGTTGGCAGTGGAATGTGTTGAAGAGAGAAGAAGTGTGGGGAGAGAATGAAACCAGTGATGTAAATCGTCATCAAACAGACTCCATTCAAACTCAAAAACAAGCGGACGTGTAACATTGTACAAGCAATGATCTCCAAGGCCTCGTACAGAACACTTTATACAGTCGCACCAAAACAGCAGCGGCTGAGTGGCTGCGACGTACGGCAGTGTGTGCACTGGTAGTTCCGTTAGCTGTTAGCCAAACACACCATCCAGAACACCAAACGTGAGCAAACAGTTTTCTGCCACTGTGATTCTGGTCTCAGGGTAGCAGCTGTGTTATCACTAGCGACCTCTACAGGCCTGGAGCCAGTGAAGTGTAGTGAGTCAGCAGGCAGGCAGTGGCAGCATAAAACAGGTTGTAAAAGGTCTTCTGAGAAAGTGTGAGGCTCTGCAACCACAAGAGGTCCTGGAGCATACAGCCCGAACTGGACACCCAGCAGCAGAAAGTAGTGGTAAGTAAGGGGGCAGAAAGAGGAGGAAAGGGCATGAAAGAGGAGGATTAAGGGTCCATGGGAGACAAGAAAGACGGGAGGAGACGGAAGTCCTTGGGGATCTGGTTATCAGATTAGGCAGAAAATGCTACATCAGCAACATTTCAGCATGAAAATGAAAGCTATCCTGGCAATTCAAAAAATCATTCTCCCATTTCTAATTGGATAAAACCTATGCTCAGCAAAGAAACGACGAGGAAACCATTTTATATTCAATTTCATCTAAAGATTCTCATTCTGCAGGAAAGGTTCCTGTGGGCCATATACAGTATATAGGGAACACAAGAATACATTATATTAACGTTTTATTCTCATTCTGTATGTAGAGCAGAGGTCAAATTCAAAGTATCAGTTATCATTGCAGTTATGCAAATATAACTTGAGTTTGCTGGGTGACGGGCAGGTATAACATGGACTTATACCTGATTCCTACAAACAAGATGAGATCATAAAATGTGGAAATGAAGGCTTTTACTTTGTTGATATTGTTGAAACTGGGGATGGGTAATTTAGCATTACCATAAACTCAGTATATGGGTCAATGGTAATTAGACTAATGAGAAAATATTCTATTATGAAGTGCAAGCCTGACAGACTCACTCTATCATCATGAAACACACAGAAACCTGTCTGTTCACCACGACAGCTGCCTGGAGAAAAAATAGGATAAGAAGCATAAAATATCAGCACCAGGCAGTGAAAGCTCAGTCGAGTCTGCCACTGTTCACTTGAAGATGTCTCCTCAGTACACACCAGGAGAACAGACCTGAAGAACCGCCCGACACGGTCCAAGAAGTCATCACCCAGCTCCGTCACATGTCGCTGGGAGGAGTGGGCCTGATGAAGAGTCTGTCAGAAGAAAAGCCCCTCGCTCTGCTGCTGCTGAGTGTGTGACGCCCGCGCTGCTGCCTTCCAAGCATGGCCTTTTCTCCCACTCGTAGGGAACTACAGAGAGGCATGAGAAGAAGCTGCTGTGAATTCTCTGTGAGGAACTCCTGCATGCAGAAAACACACAATGGTGTATAACATACAAACAGTCTCCCAAACTGGGACACAGGGCCTTGTGCACATCTCCATATATAGCTCAACCAGGTCTGATGCACCACGCCAATCTATGGCGGAATTGCCCGTGAAGTGCTGAGTAGCATTGGTTATGACAGCAGGGAGATGATGAGGCATCCTTTTCCCCGTAATTAGTGTTGTAACAGCTTTGGCAGGGAGACACTAACTTTCCTGCCAAGTCCGAGCCACCTGTTGGTGAGGGGGCAGCGCTGACTCCCATTCAAGTGTCTTCTTCTTTTTTTACATATTTTAGAGATATGAGTCGGTATATACGACAAAAAAACTCCTAAACACTGTCTTCTTCACTTGCCTTCAGAGATAGTTAGTGAGAACGTTTCGGTAGACGGACTTTCATCAGGTGAAATAAGTCAGGACACTGTGACGGCTTGAAACCAGGACTGTCCTCAGTTACTGTACTCTGGTGTGTCATTAGCACCAACCCATCGAAGCAGAAGCATTGATTCACACGGCCATCCTTGTGTCAGTATCCCCCCAACATGTGCAGCAACATGATTCTGGCAGTATCACACTGTGAGCTCCATAGATCTCATTTCCATTCCAGTTATTGGCCACAGATCGCTGGAGGTTATCATGTGGAGCTCAGGAAGCTGCAAGCTGCAATGGAATAGAGAGCTGAAGTCCCAGCTAGCCCGCTCCACTAGCTTCTGTAACTCAGTGGTATCCCTCATTCTTACATCAGTCTGTGCAGAAACGTATGATGAAGGAGCATCATCTTCACTGTGCTACCCAGTGGTGATTTTAAACCTACATTAATGATAATTTTGACCACATGAGACAACAACACTGACATAAACAACTTATTTAGCTGCAGGTCCAGAGCATCTTTTGTATCAAATGGAGTGTTCATTTGGAGTAGCATTTCTTTGGTCTGTGCACCTCATGACTGTAAGTCCAGTCTTCACTCTCATTGTAGCTCTGTTTGGGTTTCATCTGCTCCTGGCTCTCTGGATGCTCTCTGGATGCTCTCTGGATGCTCTCTGGGTGCTCTCTGGATGCTCTCTGGATGCTCTCTGGGTGCTCTCTGGATGCTCTCTGGATGCTCTCTGGATGCTCTCTGGGTGCTCTCTGGATGCTCTCTGGGTGCTCTCTGGGTGCTCTCTGGATGCTCTCTGGGTGCTCTCTGGATGCTCTCTGGGTGCTCTCTGGGTGCTCTCTGGGTGCTCTCTGGATGCTCTCTGGGTGCTCTCTGGATGCTCTCTGGGTGCTCTCTGGATGCTCTCTGGATGCTCTCTGGGTGCTCTCTGGCTTTCTTCCTGTCACTAGTCATGTGATCCAGAGTTAACATGACAATATTGATGATAGCAGCTTTAACAAAGTTAAACAACAATGTATTTGTCAGCATACAAATAAACTACATCTCCCATGAGGTTTTACTCGAGGAGAAGTGAACATCATTGTAACCGTTTCTGCTTTTTGCTGCATTCACGCATTTTGGACCCAATGCAAAGAACTCAAAAACCTTGTTATTTTCACTTCATTGCTCTAAGATGGTTACCCTTAGTGCTAGCCTTAGCTACACCCTTGTATTAGGCTAAAGTAGCATTACTTATTTGTATTAACAAGTGAATCTATACAGTTTAGCACATTAAGAGGGAGTTATACATTGGTTCTGATTGCAATAATGATCATATTGGATTTTGTTGAGATGAAACTGCCAGCAACGTTGGCTTTGCAGCCACCTTACAAACCGCTGATGTCTCTGAAATTACTTTTGTCAAGTCTGTTCAAATTCCACATATCTGACAATTTCAACTGGGAGGCTGAGGCAAACCTTTCTTTAGTTACGGTCCAAACAACATGATGTGAACACGGCAATGTCTCGACAACAACAGCATCTTCTAATGTCATCTTTGACCTTTTTGGCTGTAATCTCTGCTGCCTGAAGCACATGTCATTCCTGTCCCGTGTTTGTTTCTGCCATGTCGGGGGTTTCGGGCTTGTGGGAAACAGTGTTTGTTAAAAGCTGCTAAAAGCAGAAGTATTAGAGGGAAACCTTTTAGGTGGATGTCCAATCAGTGCTGATGGTAAATGACGTCCACTGATAAAATAAATTCCCCAGAGCTGTTATATTGACCGAGAAAGCTGACCTCTCCTGCTGCAGAGCCGTGACTCCATGTACCAGAATGCAATGCGCGCCAATGGTGATTTTACTACATCTGATAAATAAAAGAAAGAAGGCAAAATGTCAGTGAAGGAAATATTAAAAACACCTGAACCGAAAACAACAAACGTACACCTTCTGAATTTAAGTTTGTCTTTTACGTCGAACTAAGACGGGCTGAACCTTGTTAGCTCATTATTAAACACTACATTCAAACTCAACTGAACCATTTGTCCGTTAGTCTTTCCACTGTTCCAACAATGAGAAACTCTGGTTTGGTAGAAACACATCCTTATTTCTCGGTTGTCTTTTCCAGTTTGTCTTCGGGATCCTGAAGAAGGTCTCCAGCAACCCTCCGTCCCAGTGAGGAGGAAAACCACTCTCTCTGGGTTGTCGTGGGCGACAGCATCCAACAACAACTGCCCACGCTGACATTCATTAAAGCAGAATGATTCTGTCTCAGATTCTGGAGGGGCCCCACCAGCCTTATCCTTCCACTGCAGCCTGGAGGGGCTTCTCTCCGGCTGAATACAACCGAATGTCCGAGTCAGCCGGAAATCTACGCTGTAAAGAATCCTTCATAACATCCTCTGCACTCGTATTTTAGGATGTCATTTTCGCTGTTGGAAACATAACACAAGCGACAGGAACAAGGAAGCTTTAGAGCAACATTGTGCCCCAAAGCCAGCAAAGCTGAGAGTGGCACTCTGTAGTTCTTCCTCATACCAAGTATGTCGCCCCAGGGACAGACAACACCAGGAACAACCCCAGGTGTTTTTCACAGTAGATATGTAACTGGGAAAGGGAGAGATTAGGTACACGATCTTATAAATACCAATGATACTAGGCTATCTGGACGGTGGGTGGTTGTACTGTATGGGGTGAACCACACTGCATAATGTTAATTGAGGTTATGTTCCAAGATTGGATCTTTTTACATTTGATGTTATTACAAATATCAAGTGCAGTTTCCTTACACATCTCTTTGGCTCACCATTTGAGAAAACCTGTCTCAGCTTTCTAGGCAGAGATTATGTTCCCTCCTAACATCTCTCTCATCACAACTGAGAAACTATCTGCAATTCAAGAGCCATGTTGTGTTAAATTAGATGAGTGGTGGCTGGTCATGTCCAGATGTTCCTCAGAATACATAAGACAATTTATGCATTCTGTTCTTGTGTGTTGGGGTAAAATACACAAATTAAGTTTCAAATTAAACATCAATAATCATTTGTGCTACAGCACAATGCCTTAAAGACGTGATCCTCTCTCAGCAGGATCGTTCCAGTCCAGGTGCACTGTGGGAAATGTCAGAGATGATTGATACCTCTCATGAGTAAACAGACCCAACGGAAAAAGATACACGGCTACACTGGTGTGTTCAAGGCCTGGTAGCTGGGGGAGAAGAAAAGAAACGATATTAGCAGGTCCGTCAAGTACCAAGCGGTGGGATATATTACAGCTAGAAGCAGTTTTAAAACAAGTTGGGGCCCTGCCAAGAAAGTCTCAGAGCAATATCTTCAGCAATATGGATTCTGCTCTAGCTGGCACAGGGCTCTCTGATAATATCTAATATTGTATAGACATAACCTGCTGGGAAATCAAGTTCAAGATGTCTATGGGGATAAAATGAACCTGCAAACTTCAACCGTGACTGATGTGGAATTCACAAATATGTACCTCCATTAGTTTCCTTCTCTTAACCCAGCCGATATCTAGAGGAGTTAGAGAAGTGGTGGTACACTAATCAGAAGGTCGGTGGTTCATTCCCTGTACACACGTGTTAACTTAAGTGTCCTTAAGCAAGATGCTGAACTGGTGAGTTACTGCTGTTGCTCCTGATGAGCAGGTGGCACCTTGTATGCATGTGAGTCAATGTGTTTGTAAAGCGCTTTGAGCAGGCCAAAGACTAGAGCAGCGCTGCATGGATAGCTAGAGTCCATTTAACTGATCTGGTGTCTGTGATTTTACTATTCTGAGAAAATGGATCACAATACTTTATCTTATATTACTCACAAAGGCTAAATTGCACTCAGGTGCAATTCATTAATGACAAACATGACATAACTATTGTAGTCTTGCTGATTAAAAAGTTATTTTTATATTCTGGATCCACATTATGGTCCAATCATACACAAAGTTAGCTTTACTGAGCTGAACAGTGCAACACTGCCACCATGTGGACAAATGAGGAAACAGTAGAAACAACCATTCTCCATCTCACATGTATGACAGTTACAATGATAAGAAGAAGAAGAAGAAGAAACATTCCTTTATTAGTCCCACAGTGGGGAAATTATTCTCTGCATTTGACCCATCCCGGTATATATATGTATATATATGTAATATCATTTACATCAACTGCCTCACGGTTCAGACAAAAAAGGAGATAGGCACACAAAAAGCTAGAGATCAAGACAATTTATCAAATCATGTTAACTCAACAAATCTCTGAGATGTGAAGAATTAGCAACATCAGTGATGAAAATAGTGTAACTATATGTTGCATGCTGAAGAAAAGACAAAGACACACATACCAGGAGACCATGACCAAGAACAGGCCGGCTCTCACTAGACTCTATTGCTCCTCTAAAGAAGAAGTTAGTAAAACAAAGGAGGTTGGCTCCTTGGTATAACCCTCTAACCCGCAAAGTAAAGCAAACATCACGAAAACTTGAAAGAACATGGTGTTCCAATAACTTGGAAGAATCTCGGTTAGTCTGGCGAGACAGTCTGAAGACATATAAGAAGGCCCTCCGTAATGCCAGAGCAGCTTATTACTCATCATTAATAAAGAAACATAAGAACAAGCCCAGGTTCCTCTTCAGCACTGTAGCCAGGCTGACAGAGAGTATTCCTTTAGACCTCAGTAGTAATGACTTTATGAACCTCTTTAATAATGAGATTATAACTATTAGAGAGAACATTTATAATCTCCTCCCTCAACCAGTACCCATCTATCCTCAAATAGAGTAACCATAGAAACAGCTGTAAACCCTGATATATATTTAGATGCTTTACTCCCATCAACCTTCACCAACTGACTTCAACAATGTCTACGTCTAAACCTTCTACCTGTCTCTTAGACCCCATCCTGACTAGGTTCAACCGTTAGTTAGCACGTCTTTGCTAAATATTATCAATCTGTCTTTGCTAACAGGCCATGTACCACAGTCCTTCAGAGTAGCTGTAATTAAACCTCTTCTTAAACCAGTTTAGTGTGGTTCATTTAATGCCAATCAAATGTTCTAGTCTCTGCAACAGGATGTAATGATCAATGGTGTCGAACGCAGCACTAAGGTCTAAAAAGCTGCATTCGACACCAAAAAAAGTCCGCAATTTTCACCAGCGCTGTCTCTGTGCTATGACTCACTCAAAGCCAACAGCTCTGGATCGAGAGTGGGCTTCTTAACTCCCAGTTAAAACAAACTTCAAGGACTGCCTTTTTCCAGCTACGGAATATTTCACAAATCAGGCGCATCCTGTCTCAAAGCGATGCAGAGAAATGAGTTCATGCATTTGTTACGTCTAGACTAGATTACTGCAACTCCTTATTATCAGGCTGCTCTAATAATAGTACTGTACTCTAGATAGTTCATGATCAAATGAAACAGTATCACATACTTGATTGAGAGGGGGATAAGCGGAACTAATGATAACACTTCTTAGCTTAGAGGAAGAGGACTCATATTTCAGTTACACAGTGTCTGTGCTTCCTGTCCGTTCAATTTATACATCCGTGTTCCCGTCGGGGAGTTTTCGCTAGCTTGTGTAACAGTTCGGTCATGTTTCGGAGTGTTGTGGGTAGATTGGTGACGGAAACAGGACGTGTTCCCCGCTGCATGAGGACTACTGCTCTAACACAGAGGCTGACAGCCGTGTCCGTGTCGGCCAGGAGCTTTTCGGATGTGAAGGACGAAGTGCAGCCGCCTTTTGATAGCTCGCTGCTCCAGTTCCTGGTATGTCCGCTGTCCAAGAAGCCGCTCAGGTGAGACGGATAAAGGACAAACTCAACGTGTTTTAGCTAACGTTAATCTGAGATTAATGTGGCCAACATCAGTTTCATGACGATGTCTCCACACAATGAAGCAGCTCCTAATTTCATGTTGAAATATATGAAATGCGTTTCCACCAATATTTAACGTTAAAGTTTTCTCACTTGCAAATCACCAAAAATATGTGACACTACATAGAAATACTGTAGTGAATTTAGGTAGCAGACGTGTTACACTATCTAAAAGAGGTCACTTTGTGTTAACAGTTATCATCAGTGAGCTAAATACTATCACGTGTGACGTGACGGTTGCAACGTTCAGGTGTTGTGGGAAATAAGAGTTTAGCTTTCATTTGCTGTACTTAAAAACTCCCTTTTCCTCAGCTTGCATGTTGTAAATGTGACACACTGAAATAATTTTAAAGTTGTCATAGAATAATAATTCTCTTGGTCTTGTCCCTCCACAGGTACGAGGCTAAGACCAACGAGCTGATCAACGAGGAGCTTGGTATTGCCTATCCCATCATTGACGGAGTCCCCAACATGATCCCTCAGGAAGCCAGACTCCTACAGAAAGACACAGACACCTCCATCCCCACACCAACACAAGGCTAGAACCTCCATCCCCACACCAACACAAGGCTAGAACCTCCATCCCCACACCAACACAAGGCTAGAACCTCCATCCCCACACCTCTGGCTGACCCAAGCAGAGACTTCCCATTGTTGTGTTCTAAAGGCTGTTGGACAGAATGAGACAATACTTCTGCAACTGGACCCTGCTCAGCTCAAATTGACATATTGTATTACAGTGAGAACCTATACTGCATTCTAGCCACCTGTATCAGAACCCATCTGCCAGTATGTTCTCCCTGTCCATGATGGTGGGGCTGGTCCCGGTGGTGTCGCTCTTTGGTCTGTTCTACTCTGCTGCAGTGGATGAGAGCTTCCCTCAGGGCTGCACCAGCAGTAGCAGTCTGTGTTTCTACAGCCTGCTGCTGCCCGTCACCATCCCTGTCTACGTCTTCTTCCACCTCTGGAGCTGGATCGGGATCAAGCTCTTTAGACACAACTAGGCTGTTCTCCTTCTGTTCTGTTACACTTCATCTGTTGGTGATGTACCGAGCCTTTCTGGACCCATTCTGTTTCTTCATTGATAAAAGGTAAAAATAGAACGGTTTGACATTCCATCAGCACAGCTACAATGGAGTTTAATAGCCACAAACAGTTGAGCTCCTGATGACAAAGTAGTAGATTAACACCTGAACATGTGGTTCGTACAGTGTCAGGCACATTTGGAAGGTTGACTATTTGGGTGTGACATATGTACGTTGCTGTGGTGGTGAAATGAATAAAGGTGACGTTACACAACTTAACATTGAAACTTTACTGTGCTTCATTGAAAACTACTTTTAAAACTCAACCATATATCTTAAAGACTGTACAGTGAGTAAACCACTGGTTCTACACAATAAATACACTTTAATTGATAAAAGACATGCTTTCGTTAACAGATAACCACCAAAACTATGAACTGCAATTAGATAACAGCTTCCTGAAAACATAAATTAGCTGGAACTAAAACGTTGAGGGAGTAACACCTCTCTGCACTTCAAATCCTTTACCAACATTACAGGAAAGTCTAACTTGAAAATGTTAACATTGGAAAAAAAAACATGAAGTCCCCATTAATATGAGGATGTCCTGTTTCTCCAGGGTTCCCTTTCTCTTAATGTTGGAGATGACTGGACTTTTCTCTTGATCTTCCTCATACCATCATGACAATGTTGTACTTTCTATCATAAAGGTCCTGTTGACACAAAGGTTCAGGTTGTGTTTCAGCATCAAGAGTTTGAATACATCTGTTAATCTGGTACATGGCTGCTCTTCAACCCAAGACTCTTGAAACTGCTCCAGACATTAAAGGGCCTCTAGCCGAGAGCGTCTGACTGTGGCAGCCACTGACTGCAGGTCAGTCAGCAGACCTTCAGGTCCCTCCTCTGACGGGACCTCAGTGGCGCTTCCTGCTCTTCACCTCTCTGCCCTGAACCAGTTTCATCAGTGGAGACTCTGGTCTGGGGGACTGTCCCTCTCCTTTGGTCTTGAAGAAGAAGGACTCGTTGAGTCTCATCTGGACCGCCCTCACCTGAAGTCCAACACAAAGCCGTTGTTACTGAACAGTGCCCTACATTTCAATGACCCTTTGAACAAATGACACAAACAGTGTTCTGCTGTTGATTAGCAGACACGACAGGGACAGAGGTCTGTACATCTTACCCTGTCTGAGGTCAGGGGCTTTTCACCATTGTTCCATGGGGGGCCACATATTTGACAGGTGCAGTAGAGACACACATATGATATCAATGAGTTGTTTGTTTGACTTTTATATTTTTGAGCATGGGATTTCACATGAGCATAAACGGGTTAAAGTCAGTTAGATTAGGACTTTTTAATGCCACTAGGAATGACATTTACAACTAATTATATAAGATTTAGCCCAAACATGAATTGTATCTGAAAACATGACTTTTAGAAGACAGCTGTGAAACACCTGGTGTTTGTTGCTAAGTGTTCTGTTTGTCACTCTGTGTGTAGGGTTCCACTAACCTGGCCCCATCAGACAGTTTAAAAAACCTTTGTTTTGCTCCACTGTCCTGATCTGCATGACGGTGATGCAAGAGGCATATATCAAAGAAATGGTTATTAAATAATGTTGCTATTTTGAGATCTTACAAAGCAACCTCAGAAAACACAATACAATTTGACTTCCCATGTCTTAGTGTTTTTAAAGATTGACATAAGACAATTTAATACCACTTATGGCCTTATTTAATATGAATGAATTGAATGCCTTTGAAGGCTTCCTAAGGATCTGCAGGAACTCTAAACGGATGTGTGAACTGTCTGTGCCTGAGATCACAGGCTATTTCTCCTATTAATAAGTGAGGACTAACTCATATCTGCACTATTATGTGGTTCCACTCCACAACGACACACAACACATGGTGATCATCTGAATGAAAGTTCTGTTGCCTTACAAATAAATGCAGCAGCCCATTTGTGTTTGACACATACATCACTGATTATCCTGAGACAGTACTAGGTCCTTTTACATTGTTACCTACAGCAGATTTACAAGAATCATGTTAACGTATAAATATTCATCTCCCACTACAATAGTGCATTTGATGGGGACAATTTTCAGCAAAGGATGAACACGCATTTGTTGGACCAGCTAGTATTCACTGTACAGCAGCACAGTGTACATGAGATTGAGTGGAAGTAAACTACAGTGTGTGTGTGTGTGTTCATGGTGATGGAGGAACAAGTGTGACTCACCTGGGTCAGGTCCAGCCTGCCACTGCGACAGGGGGGCTCGTCCTCGCTGGAGGTGGTCAGGTCTGCAGACTTGGGCTCAGAATCTGACTGAGGGCTCAGAGATGTTCCCCTTTTACATTGAGTGCTTCCAGGCCACGGGTGATGACCAGAGGGCTCTTCCTTTACCGCTGCATCTTTCATGTGTGAGGAACCAGATGGATGCAGGTCGGGCTCTTTGGGATTTCTGCCTTTGAGCTCTCCTGGTAAAGAAAATGTCTTCACTGACAAACACGTCCCGAGGTCATTTCTGGCCCTCTGCGGCAAGCTCAGGTCCACAGGTTGCAAGTCCTCCAGGTGTACAGTCACTCTAGTCTTTTGGCAGAAGTTGAGGTAAGAGGAGAGTTGGGTGGTGAAGAAGTTTTCTGTCTGTGTGGAAGTGCTTCCCGTGGACATAGGGGGGGGCACTGAGGGCTCGTGGGACACACATGAAGGAGACTGCTGGCTTGAAGAACAGGAATGTTTCTTTGACTTTGCAACATCCAGGGAGGGGCTTAGATCAAATGTCTCACTCAGGTATGCATTCAGAGTGCGCGCTGTATGTGCAGGGCGTGATACTTTTCTCTCCTCAGCAATGTTTGCTTTTAAACATTTCCACTTCCTGAGGTCCTGATGTGCTTTGCTTAACTGCTCTTCTTCCTCTTCTTCTTGTTCTGTGAGAAGTACCTGTAGTGTCTTTGACTTCTGCACATGCCCCTTTGTCGTTCTGTGACGCTGATGGAAGTGTGAGTCTTGAGGACATTTGTACGAGCCTCCAGGATGCTGTTTTTTCCGTGCCATATATGTGTGCAGCTTGTCTCGTGGTGTGAACGCTGGAGGAGTTGTAGAAAAGGCGTTGTCGCTGCTTTCACCACTCGACGGTTGGGAGGGCGATGCTCTGAATGTCTTCTGGGTGATGAACAGGTCCTGACTGTTTATGTCCTCACTGGTGCACTGAGATTCATTAGCATGTGTTTGGCTGTGGCTGTGCCCTGTCCTCTCACCGTCTCTCACAGCTGCCGTCTCTGAGGGGATGCTCTTTTTTGCAGACTGCTGGGACGAAGACACACATCTAGGCGGTTTGACAGAGGAGATGTCTGGTGATAAGTCAAATGCCACTTTCTTTTTCCTTCTGCTTTTCTTCTTGCGGCCATGGTCAGGTTTGAGCTTGTCAACACTGTGTTTATTCAGAGTTTGAGGCTTCACAGCAGGCTTTGCCTGTGTGTGGATCAAACTGTCATCTAGTTCCAAAAACAATCTGCTTTTCTTCTTTCCTTTCTTCTTTTCTTTCCTTCCCTCCATTGCATCTTTGGATTTAGAGTTTTTCTTTTTCTTTTTCTTCTGGATGTGCTCGTCTGTTTTCATGCTCATGTTGTTTTTGCGTTCAGGCATTTTTTGTCCTTTTTGGAGTTTTTCTTTTTTTTTTCTTTCCCAGGTGTCCAAGACCAAGACTCCCAAAAGACTTCTGTCTCCTCACAGTCAATCATGAGTCTGTTCAACAAAAAGGGGAAAGTGCATACTTTCAGAAAGTTACATACAGCAGTTAGCCTAACACTGCCGGGGGGAGGGGCAGCCCACATACTGTCTTTCTGAGGCTGCAGTGGGCTCAGTGTTATAGTGAAATGCTGGTGTTGTATGAAACTAGAAAAACTAAGGTATGTCATGTGATGCTTGTCGGGAAGGAGTCTAAATAACACTCCAAAGTTTAAATATTGGGGAGGAAAAACTGGCATGCCAATATTCCCTTGGTCCCTTGACCTCTGACCTCAGGATATGTGGATGGAAAAGGTTTCTATGGGTAACATGAGTCTCCGTTTTACAGACATGCCCACTTCATGCAGTTTGGGCCAAAAAACAGTATTTTGTTGCATACAGTCTAAATGTTTTGTTTATTTGCTTATTCTAAAATGTGTATCTGAGACAAACAGTGGCTATGCTTTCTTTAGATGTTAATTCTGTTACTTCCCTTTTCTGTCACTACATAATGTTTTTATTAGAGAATACAGAGTGGTGTCATACCACCAGGGACGTCTTGTTTTACAGCCTCGTATTTGTGGAACACTTTTCCAACTGACAGTCACATCTATCCTACAAATCTTTGATAAAATCAATCACGTTCACCACCACCACCAAAATACCTGCTGCTTTTTCTTTACCTGAGTACATTGTTATTTCTGTCATTTGTTATATTGAGTGGGACTAAGTAGTAGTCCATTGCTGTTTTACTTTGGACTTGGACGCTGGTTTTTCCCGTCTGTCTATTGCCCATTTTATTGTTGTTGTCTCGTATTAATGAGGGTAGACTAAACATTAGAAACCGCACTCAATATAACACGGCATGTATCCTATTAGATTCAATAGGATACATGCCACACAGCCTCCAAAGGACCTTTCAACCTCAACTGATCATTATACTCTTCAGGAGGGTGAGCTTTACAGCAGGCTGTTTGATTAGACTGTATTAGTTTTAGCTAGGTGTCGAGCAGCAACTGACCGTTATTTTCATCTTCAATTAATCTGACTGTTATCTTCTCGATCAATCGTATGTAGTCTACGAAATGTCAAAAAAGGTCCGGGGGGACATTTTCAAAAAGCTTGTTTTACCTGACCACCGGTCTACACTGAAACATTTAATTTACAATGGTCAATTATACGTAGGTATTTTGTACAGGTCCAAACAGAGCATATGTACAAGAGTAGCCTGTCTAGAATGGACTTGTACATTCAAATATAGCGATGCTGCATCCTGTGCATAGCAAGTGAAGAGCATCTGACCAGATTGTACAATGTACAGTGATGAGTCCTACAGCCTGAGTTTGAAATACGTCTCAAAGCAGCATGATGAAGTGGGTCAGGTAAGGCCAAAGTAGTGGGACACGCATTTATACATCTGTAAATGGTATGAGCACAGTCGAGCTGAGACAGGAATAAACCTGTATTACAAATACAGGAATGCTTATATGTATGAACTTGCTCAACAGCCTCATATTGCTTTGTCCACTAGCAGGGTTAGGGTTAGGGT